GGTAGCTCGCCATTTTTGAGGCGCGGGGGTGAGGGGGGGTGCGGTTTGGGGGTGCGGGGGCCGTGTGGTTATGGTGGTACCATTGGATTCGAAGGGGGCGGAGGGAGGGAGAAGACGGGCTGGCGAGTTTGGGAAGATAGAGAGGAGGATGGTCACGGCGGGAAGAGGGAGGGTTCGATGTGATGGCGTGAACATGATGGCATCGTTCCATTGGACAGGACGAAGCGCTACATGATTGGGGAATATTGAAAAAGAGGAGAAAAAATAAAGAGTACAGTACTGCAGTGAAAGTTGTGTTATGCTGCCTGAGCCACGTAATCTCGAGAGGCTCACACAGCCTTACTCAGCCAAAGCAGTGCACTGTGGCAACAAGGCAACTACATGTTGCCGTGTTCAATTACCGAGTACAGTGCCTCCTACGATATAGTGCTATAGCGTGACATACCTCTAGCTATGGCACTATTGAGGGGATGGCACTATAGAAAGGAGGCTCAAATACATATATTTGGGGACAAAGCACACTGCTAACACAAACACAACGAAGCCTGTATAACACAACTAAATAACTTCATCCTTTGAGTACTGAACCATGCCGGATGATACACGTGTGAGCGTATGATAACCCGTGCCAGAGGGTGAGCCATAGCACTATATAGAGGGAAGCACTACTAAAGAGGGCACTATTGAGCGACCCCCCCCTGTACCGCCAATTGATTGCCAATTGGTTGGCGGTACGTGTCCTAGAGGGACTAGGAAATAAGTAATAATGGAGTAATTTATGAATTGCGTTCCACCGGCATGCGTGGAAGAGAAAGTTTTTGCCTTAATCCCTGATTCCGCATGTGCCGAGAGCAACCCTATCGGCGTCTCGTGTGAAGGAGCAGCGACTCTCACAGAGAACGGTAACGCTACGAACCGCTAAACACCGCTAAGCACTGCTAGTCTTGCTCACCACAAGCACGGACTTCTAAGACCAGACAAAGGCCTTCGTAAAGCCCTTCTTGTCAGGCCACACCCCTACAAGACTGTTTATTCTCTAGCTTAGCAAATGCGCTCGAACCGCCAACCGACAGTCTACAAGGCTAAATGCATGGAAGACGTAGACTTAGAGCACGCCACAGTCTGCGATGGAGACGGTTTTCGAAGTCCTGCCGCTGGGCGAGCCGACGCCCTCGACGGCCTCGACAACGTCGATGCCCTCGATGACCTTGCCAAAGACGACGTGCTTGCCGTCGAGCCAGGAGGTCTTGTCGGTGCAGATGAAGAACTGCGAGCCGTTAGTGTTGGGGCCGGCGTTCGCCATGGACAGGATGCCCTTGTCGGTGTGCCTGAGCTTGAAGTTCTCGTCGTTGAACTTGTGCCCGTAGATCGACTTGCCGCCGGTCCCGTCCCCGTTGGTGAAGTCCCCGCCTTGCAGCATGAACCCTGGGATCACGCGATGGACTGCGGGAGGGAGATCGGATACAAAAAGGGGGTTAGTCACTACACCATGAGTGGGATCAAATCGCGAGGGATCGGATGGCGAGGGATCGAATGGCGAGGTGGGAGGGAGTCGGTGGTCACTTACATGAACTGTCCTTGAAGCCGAAGCCCTTCTCCCCAGTGCAGAGGGCCCTGAAGTTCTCGGCGGTCTTGGGGACGACATCGCTGCGAAGCTCCATGACGATGCGACCGGCGGCGGTACCACCGATGTTAACATCGAAATAGACTTTGGGAAGCGTCGCCATGATGAGGAGGTGATCGAGAGTGTTGGAGGTCGTGGGGGAATGTTGCGGGATGTGTTGAGAACGAGTACGGGGGGAGCTGGACACGGCGGTGGAGTGGTTTTTATACGCATTGGAGAAAAGGAAAGTGATAGGGTTGATTAAGTGGGGAGCGTGAAAGGTGGAAAAATTTCTCCATTGCGCGTGTCAATCAGGCGTGCCGGTTGGGATGCCCGATTGGCGAATCTCGACACAAGAAAATTGCATCAGCGGTGGCCACATCGACAACCTTGAACTGTACAGTGCACTACTGTACGCTCCTGAGCATTACTGCACACTGCCGTGCGCACGGACGTGTTCGAGCGTTGTGCAGTATGACCTGGCCTGAAGGGCCTTCTTGTTGCTGGAGCCGGAAAGTAGCCTCCTCGCACTGTACCGAGAGACTCCAACTCTCGGGAGGGCGGCAGTGTGGATGGAAAAAAGGGGGCGAAGAAAAACAGGAAGCGAGCGTATTGCACGTTTACTGTTGTATATTCTGTCTGCCCCCCGGGCTCGTCTAGCTTCAAACCTTGAGGACCTTAATTCTAAAAACGCAGTTAAACAACAGGACGGCGGTCTAGATTAGCAACTCCTAATCCCCGATCGCGCGACGGCACAGTGGTACTGTGCACAACACTTCTGTAAGACGAAAACCAACACCCTGCCTTGATCGCCCGCCCAGTAATGTACACCGCCCTCCCACTTTTGACATATTATTATCGCACTAAATGGATTTCCTTTGCCCCACAAGAGGCACATCCACGCCACTCTGGAAGCGTCCCTCATCAATGGCTGGGCAAGGTCCAACAAGTAGAAAGCGACTGTGCATGCTGAGCAAAATGCTCCGGGCCCCCCTTTCACGAGTCCTCTTTCCTTTCGCCTTCCTCCGGCGTCAACCCCGCGTCAACCCCACGTCCCCCCCGCGTCCTCCCCGCGTCCCCCCCGCGTCCCCCCCGCGTCCTTCCCGCGTCCTTCCCGCGTCCCTCCCGCGTCCCTCCCGCGTCCCTCCCGCGTCCCTCCCGCGCCCCTCCCGCGTCCCCGGGCCTCTCCCCCGCCACCGGCCCGCATGACGGAATCCAACAACCCTCATCCGACAACCCTCGTCCGACAACCCTCGTCGCGCACGCCGCGGACGCGTCTACGCGCATGTGGCCTGAACGATGATGCTGACATCATCGTTCGGGCCACATGACATCAGCAGGCGCATATGTTTAGGGCTCTTCCTTGTGTGCCTTGGTCTCGGCGGCAAAAGGTTTGCGCCCCGTATATCCGTGATCGCGCCACACAAATCGCCACGCTGATTGGGCGAGCACACCTGCTTTGCGCGCGGCCCGCGCCGCTGATTGGCTGCCTCCACGAAAAATCTCGCGCCAGCCAACCGCATGCCGCGCCCCCAGTGATCGCACACCCACGCATCGTGGATCAGCGGTTATCGCAACGGCTAGGTGGCCCCGTTGCCACCGTTGCTTTTGGCCCCGTTGCCACCGTTGCTTTTGCCGCACCTGGCTGCCTGCTGCATCCAAATTACTCCAACTAAATGACTACAAAATATTAATGTGGATACACAATATTAATGTCGGCCACAATAGCAATTTACGCTAAATAGCTTTCCGAACAATGTATTGTAAATCATCTCGAGGGTCACTCACGCTTTTTAATGTGGATACACATGAAAATATGTAACCACATTAATAATTGCGTGATTAATGTTGGCCACAAATAATTTACGTTAAATAGCTTCCCGAACAAATTTATTGTAAATCATATTATATATGAAGCTACATAATAAAATGCGAGTGTGAGTACTAATCCAGGGGGTCACTCCCACAGTTGCTAGAAAAATTTACACTTTGACCCAAAAAAAAAAAAGAATCGCTCTTTACGCATATACTGACACAGTAGTGTGAGACTGCAGAGCTCTCACGAACGGAGACACCAAATATGCATTCCTTGAGTGACTTATTTATGGACTTACTCCAGCGAATGAGCAGAATCATGACAGTTCCGCATCGATCTCATCATACTGCAAAAACCTTAATATATTTGCACACTTGTGAAACAAAACAGCAGGGTATAATATATTAATCTTCCAAATACTTGAGCATTATATTAAAAATAAAAGCAATAGCATGTCCCGCCGATAATCTCTTCTTCGCCAACTCTTTCGATCCTTTTCTCTCATTCAAGGAAGAGGCTTCTCATGCCACATTTGCCCGGATCTTGCGGCGACGTGATACACACTTATGCGCGCGGCCCAAAGCGACTGGGACAAAGGGGTGTTAGGATTCTATAAAAACAATGCACAAAATGCCTACTCGCCACAAATACCGATCACAAAGCTTGTGGTGCTTTTGTTCACATTAATATGGAGGAGAAAAATTGATGTGACTCACCTTTATTAAAATCCGTCCTTGCCAATGTGACAACACACATTGCAGTGGTTCACGATAATAATATATACGAGGGCACTCAAAATTGAGGCTTCAAATGAAAGTGAATAAGAAGATTATTTGCGTAACTGGGTGACGACGCCGCAAGCCGCAAGCCGCCGGCGCCCGGCGTCAGGCCCCTGCCTGATGTGTGGCACGCAGAGCTGCGGATACAGTACCCAAGGGTACACAGAAGCTGCCGCCGTGCACGTGGATGCCCTGCCCTCTATTGGTCCAGGGCCTGTTTCTAACATCCGCCTGGAGGGCGGAGTGGCTCCCCATTGACCATTTCCAGGTGCTCCTCTCGAGTTTTGCATTTCGTTCTCTCTGGTGCCCGGACCAGCCACACGTGTCCAGACCCTTTTCTACGCCTTCTTTTTGGGAAACACTTTCCGCCATGATATGCAGTGCAGCTCTCCATCCTAACCATCCTTATGCCGAAGCACTAGATACAGCATTAGATACCTTTCTCCTCTCCTGGCAGAAACTTGCTCCTGTCACTGTATGACCATTCTTGCTGACATATCCAGACGGGAACATCACGCTTTGAGAACTGCAACGACTTAAAACTTCATACCGTACCTCTTCACCCAGAAACAGCATCAAAGCAACTACAACAATTCTATCCTCCACATAATCCACTCATTGCCCCTTTTAGAACTCTTTTCCCTTCTAGTATATCTTTTACACGCCTTATGTAGCCACATCCCCACAGAAACACCATGCCCATCACAGGTGTCCTCGTCTTCGTGAATCCCATTTGAACGGGGCTTCTTGCTACGAACAACCTCATCATTATCCCACGCACCTTCTCTTTAAAACAAACCCCCACAAACATCGACATTACCTGAGAGGCACAATTCCCTTCACAACCCTATCACCTCCCCCCTGCACCCCTCATCTTCTCGCCGTGCAGTCCTTCCCGCAAGAACCCGCCCTCGACTACAGCCGGCACCTATCACAAACGAGCAGTCTATCAGTCGGCATAGCCTCAGCCCACCGCTCGCTACAATGCGCCAACCGCTACCTGCACCGCGCCATCCGACGCCTCGCGAACATCGCGGACAATTCGAAATCGAGAATCACAACTTGGAGGCTCGCCGCAGTCACCGCCGATCTCCGGAGAGCAGCCAGACATGCGCCTGTCCTTGCGCTTGTCGTGGCGAGTAAGGGAAAAGAAAACCAACACTTCAAGCACGTCTTGGTTAAATATGCTCTCGAGATGTCGACCTTGGTACAGCCCTTGATGCAGGATGTTGATAGGGACTTTCAACTGGCAACTGGACACGAGATGAGCTGCCCGTTGTATGACGGAAGTGTGAAGGCTTGCACATAGGGTCTAGGAGAGCATTGTCTGACAAGATTCTAGTTTACGTTGATATTGACTGCCTTTCGCTCTTTATCCGCCGTTAAGCTCTGTGGGTCTTCTTTCTATCTAAAAGAAACTGAACCTTAAACTACGTAAGCATTTTTAAGATTGAGACCCCGACTGCTACCCGAGTACGAGAAACGTCAACTAGCAGAGGGGCTGTGGTTTTTGCCTCACTTTTTAAGAATACTGTACTAGAATTGCCCACGAGTAACGTAATACAAGTAGGGAAGACCAAAGCTATGGATCTTATGCAAGATATGAAGGGAAGACCTTCTCTCTTTCTATTGGAAAGCCTGTCCGCTATGAGCGCTGCTCTTCACCCAGTGTGACGCATTCAGAGGCCGAGTCTTCGTTCTTGAGCTCAGCTAAAAAACCTCACCCAATTGAGGCACTCATTCTGTCGTACAAGACGTGATTCGGCGTGTAATTTATACATGCACGGCTTTACAGGGGTCGGCGTAGGCATTCAAAAAATCTCTGCTTATAGGTAGCAATGACCGTTAGATATAGGTCCAGTTAATCTCTTTTGCGGATCCTGAAGTTGGTTTTCAAACAATAATAAACACAGAGGGACAAATCACGAAAGATACTTAAACTACGTTACAGGTTTGCTTCCAAACGCGTGCATAGCTGCATGCGAGGGCATCTCTTTCATTGCGTGAGGATATCTACCGCCTTCACTAAATCGCCACCGGCTTCTGCTAATGCACTGACAGAATCTTCAAATGAAAACCCGATGTCAATCAGTTGTTTTAGAGATACTTCATCTTGGGAAAAGGTATCCGACTTGGGAGTTCGCAAACTTGACCCAGATTCTTCACGAACAGACGAAATATGCAAGTCGTTCAATCTGCTTTCACCTGCCCTGTCTGGCGCTTGAGATATAGTCGTTGAGACTTTTTCCTCAATAGTTCCCATAACGGTATCCATCTTTTCACCACGTGAATTCGTTGACGGCTGGAAAATCGGCATGAACCCGGCTGACTTCATGTCCTTATCATCCTTGCCTGTCTGCTGTAGCTCCTGCCAGTTGGGATCCTGAGATTGAAATTGCGGCATCGATGCAAGCTCGACACCAAAAGAGGACGATTCCATTCTATCTCGCGGTCGTCGTCCTTCAAGTTTTCGACCACTTCTTTCGCCGTTTTCTTTTGTTAAGTGACGCATATATGTACACAAGTCATCCCTCGCCTCAGCCGAGCCACAATCAACGCGATCAACAAGTTGTTCCCCGGCTTCAGGTTTTCTGCGTTTCCCCACAGCAGGTGCATCCCATGGAGCAGATATCAATGACCCAACCGAAAACGCAGATGTCCCCGATACTGGATCGGAACTGCAGCCAGTCTTCAACGTGATTCGAACAATAACTTCTTTTCCTTGCCCATCAATGTTGTAAGAGCAATCATCCCACAAAGGTATGCTGGTAACAATTCTGCAATCTATGGTCACCACAACAACTTCTGTTTTGGTTATGAGAGCAATGCGGGTCTTCTCAGGTCTTGTTTGAAGGGCGCGGGAGCGTCGATCGCCTGATGGGGTCTGTTGTCTAGCCCGTATTTGACGCTTTGTTCCAGGCATGCTTCTCGCGTATCTCCGAAGTATATTCCATACCCAAAGCTCTCCGTCAGGGCTTCGTCTGCCCTCACTGTCGCTGAGTTCCACCCAATCCAAGAGTGGAGACGAGTAAGGGACTCCGGAAGCCAGTTGTACGGCACTGAAGAGACAGACCCCTACTGCATATCTCAAGTCGAATGGATCTACACTTTGGTTTTCACCTCGAAAAGCGCGTGGTGGCCGTTCTGGGACTGCATTTGCGTCAGTCTTCGCTGATGTCGAATCGACAGATTTCATCTGGCGTGAAAGACCCGCAGCAGGTTCAGCCACAAGATCGATCGCACCCGCCACTGGTTTAGCAACGCCTCCAATAAAAGCTTTTCCGATTCCTTTGAAGAATCCTCCAGTTCCGCCTTGCTTGGCTCCCTGCATAGGCTCGCGAATAAAACCCGTTACCCCTGACGATATGCCATGTGCAAATGAGACTGCACCAGTTGCTAGACCTTGCGCAGGATTCTTGACGGACGATCCTCCTTGCCCACCAGACAATTGAGAGCCACGAATTCTTCCTCGCTCCGCTAAGTATTCGCTATCTCCAACAGCTCTCTCAAGGCCGGATGACACAGCTCTCGGAAGACTGCTGACAGAGTCCACCAACCCACCAACTGTTTGGGAAAATAGAGACTTCGAACCGCGTCCAACTTTTGCAATGAACTCGGCGGAATCTTTCGCTTTTCCGGGCTCATTGAAGAGTTCTCTGGCACCTGTGCCGACTGCATCAAATAGTGCCGCTGGGTTCCCAACGAGAGCGTTTGATGCTAATAAATTCATTCTCTGGTTGCTGAGATGTGTCTCGTAAGACTTTCGGACTAGCAGAGCGAAATGGTGCAAAGAATCAAATACGTGCTGAACATGTAACGTTGGGAACAGGAACTCGCAATTTTCCACGTTCAAAACTAAAGCGACAAGTGCCCTTGCAGACGCATTGATTCCTGCGGCTTTGGCAACAGCCGTACCACTACCAGAAGAGGTTAAACGAAGAGCGGTGCGCAGTAACTTGAAGTCACGAACGTAAATTCGTTTCGAAGATGGAATACTCGATTGCCGAAAGGCCGAGCCTTCAGATGGGCCTCCGGAGTCAATTCTTGCGTTACGGCTCCCGTACAGTCCATGCTCAAAGTCCCTCTTCTCGGTATCAGAACCTACGAGAGGCTCGAGACTTGTCGATGCTCCCATAATAGATGTGTCTGCCAGAAAAGCAAGCATTTCTGAAATGAGCTCATCTTCAAAACAAATGTTGAACGGGTGGACAGCTCCTTGGAAGGAGTTGATCATTAAAATATCGTCATCGGTCATTTTGCGTTGTAACTCGAAAGATACGGCATCACGGCCTTTCGCAGAACTTGCTCCGTTGCCATCTCGATCAGTTGTATCAAAACTAGTCGGAACCCACAAGAGTACTGGGTAAGGGGTTCTGAGGAGCTGGTTGTCTACTTGACAATTCTGAATACGCAACGCGAGGCATTCGAGCTCGTTGTAGGCTTCGTAATTCACCATGACTCCCTTGAAACAGATATACATGAGTTCGGCGGGCTTGCAAGTGATGACCGATATTCCAATAGAATCAAGAAACAAAGCAGCGTCTGTGTCTACCCGACTTCCCTTGGACGACGCAGCGACTTCATATTTTGCTCCTGACGCGGGATAGTCAAACGCATCGCTTACAATATCTCCCCCATCTCCGTCGTTGGGTTGGCCAATGACCGAATCTGATTGCTGCCCGATGTCGTCCCACCCAACAACGAGAACAGGATCAGGGTTTGCCTCAGCGATGACTGAAGCAACCCCCGCTTTACTAGTCGGCATTAACACTTGACCTGTGCTGTCTTCCTCAGAAAACGTTACAATTTTTGTTGCGCAGTCGACTGACACATGCACTATCACAGATGGAACATATGATCCTTTGAGTTCCATCACTCGCTCCCCAACAACATCAATATTGAGAACACGCTCCTCATGAAGATGGCCAGAGCCCCTCGAAGATGATGATTCAGAACGACTTGACCCTGTTCCAAAGTTGAGTTCTTCCTTTTCCAAAATCCGTATTGAAAGAAATCGATCTCTTGACGATGCCAGCGGGTTGTCCCACGAATATCGAGATGTCTTCCCGGCTCTGACAAGCCATGGCCGCTCCTGACTTTCAATCTGTGAAAACGCAACAGCTCGATCCCTGCAGAGATTGACAATTCGATATGGTGGATTCTGCCGGTCCTCAGGGTAGACTACGATTGCCGTAGATGTTCCAGATATTGGTTTCGAAGCGACTCTTGCTATGTACTGCTCGTGCGTCTTGGGGCGATACATCTTCGCGGGCAGTTCACGTGAATGTCCAATATGCAGAGGAATCGAAGGTGACCAAATCCAATCACTGTGACCGTCATTGTTCGCTAGTCGCAAGCGTACTGCTTCGCGAGAAGGTTTTCCGCTCCAGTGAATTCCCTGGAATTTGGACGGTTGTAAAGTGTTCAGGAACCTCGTCCGACAATTTCCGTGCGAGTCTACGGCGGCAGATTGGCACCATTGGAGAACTTCAGCAGTGTTATTGCATAACCAGGCTGAATTTCGTATCGTAATTACTGAAGTACAAGCCTCGAGTCCTACTGCCGGTCTTACTTCAAGTTCCAGAGAGCGACCGCGAATATTCACGCGTAATGGTTTGGTTATGTCTTCTAGCGTTGATGGAGTAGTCCACCAGTCTGAGTGATCCACCAACTCAGGCCTTGACAGTGTTTCGGATTGCGGCTCCGGAGGCAGTCGAATGGAGAGGTACGGACCTTCAAGACAAACGAAAGCGTCCGGTTGCTCAACAGGTGGCCGGTGGCGCAGATAGAACTGCTGACTGCCCGCCCCATAGAATGAATTCCTACTACAAACATGCACAGCAGTATCAGATCTATTTCGGATCCAGAACCCAGCAAAAATTTGGTATCGACGGCCGTCTTTCTTGGAGAGTCTGATCGCGGCGCGAAAATCTCGGCGAGGTTGTCCTTTGGAGTCTACCGTGCGCTCAGCGGATGGTAACACGACAGCTGCTTTCTTCGACCGAATATTCTCGAAGCTGACCTCGGGACCGAATCGGAACGATGCTCTTGAAGCAAGGCCCAGGTTGTCTCCAGAAGAAGAGCTTGCATGGCTTGGGTCAGTAGAATTTTCGTATGCAAGTGAGAGGAACGTTGAGCTGAGCTTTTCCCCAGCGAAATGTAAATGTGCGTCTTCCAATGGGGAAATTATGCCAGCTGCTAGAACAGGGCCGTCGCTCTCCAATAAAGCCTGGGATTGGTCTGTTGGTGGTATATATCGCTGAGTAATTCTATACGATAAACAACTGGGGAGGCTGTTTTCAAGGATGATGGGAGCATGAAGAGAAACGTCAACCCAGGAGGCATACTTGCTGCTATTCTTTCTGGCTTGGACTGGGCAGCGCGCTGCAACGCTGATATAAAAGTCTGAAATTCCAGTTTGGGCGCTGCGACAGCAAACTGTTGGTCTTTTGATTCGCGCTACACGCGGGGTTGCAGCAGTTGACCGGCGCCGATTGTCCTCATTGCGTTCGAATTCATTGGCATTGTTCGCTAACCAAGATATCCCAGGCAGCGCCGAGCTCCAGGTAAACAATTCCTGCGCAGCTATCGCATTTTCTTGCTGTGATAATGTCTCCTCAACCCTTCCAGAGGTCAGTGGACGCACTAGCATCGTTTTGTCGCTCTCGAACATTGGCTGCGAGTAGTACTGTCCAGCTTGTAATATGTATTGGCGGCAATCAGATTCCTTATCGGAACCATCTCCTTCTTCGACTACTCTCAAGACCAGAGTATTCTTTGTATTATTCATAATTCGATAAAGGGATCGGATCGTGCCTACTGGAACACCGTTGATCATTTCCACCTCCCATAGAATTCGAATTTGCTCACCCTGATCCCCTTCCCGCTTTGACTGAGGAACAAGTGTAATGTATTGCTTTCCTACCTCAGAAGCAGACAATTCTTGAACAGCGAAGCGGGCAATAAAAACGTAACATCGGAGGGCATCACTTCGAGACTTCTGCGGCCCATTTTCGGAGGCATGTAGCAACTCCTCAGTTTGTACCCCTACTTCGACTTCAGAGTTGTGAGCGATTGTCGTTCCCCGAGATGTTCGAGTTATGCTCATCGCAATGGGCAAGCCGAGCTCGTTTCTTACCAGAAAAGCCGCCACACTGGGCCGACGAGGAGAGATACCCTCTTTTGAGTGCTGCGAATATTGCGGCGCTTCACTGCTTTGTATCTTCTTCGTGGAAGAAGAGGCTGAAGAGTCCTTTCTCAATTTTGTTGCACTCTTCAGCGATCTAGCGACCGCCATGGCGGCGGTGACACTTGTTGGCGTTACGTTCAGGTTCAAACGTTTCTCGGATTTGATCACAATTGCTCTCGTCCCACTCTTTCCATAACTCATGCTGGCAGCAAGAAACCAAGACTCAAGGGCAGGTTCCCACCATCCTTTTTTTGTATTGAACAGATCCATGGCGACTTCGCCTTCCGTTTGCAACATATTTCCCATGTGGGCACTGATCGAAAATGATTTGAAACGAGTTTCCATGATAGGCACAAATCGGCCATCACTTTCATCTGTGATGAGAAACCTCGCGGCTGGTATGTTCACCGCAACAGCGAGATTCTTCCGGGCTTCGCGGTTGCGCTGTTCTTTTGGCGATGGCTCGCTTAGTAGTCCATCACGCGATGGGATAACTGAGGCTTGCTTCCAATCTCGCCGAACGAGGTAGCTTGGCTTCATTCGGTTGGGTCGACTCGACACGGCCCTTAGCAAAGGAATATCAGCGGCGTTCACGAGGCAAAGGATAGAATCGACACAAATGTCAACACGGCACCCAGATTCGTCAACCTTCGGCCCTATGTACTCAATCAGCGAATCAGTTGGGTAAAGGAGAGGTGTCTGTGACCTACTGAACCTTTGCGCGTGATATGAAGGCAAGTTCTTGCATTTCAGATTCTTTTCCACCTCCGGAAGTTCTGACACGACGGACATCTCCAGCTGCGTTGATTGCACCGATATCCGCTTAGCTCCGCTTCCTCTCATCCAGTCTACTTTCAATTGAAAATCTCCCGTGAGAACAATTCCTCTATCATCGCCTTCATGTTCCTCTGAGGATAATAGGACTTGCGAGCTTCCCAGCACAACCGTTAAAGTACGTCCCAGGTACGCAATTTCAGGGGCAAATGATGAGGTACGAAGGTACGGCCATCCAGGAATAGCAAGAAACGCAAGATCTCGTAAAAGCTCCGGAACCACCAGAGTTTGCAAGGAGCGGAAAAACATAACTATCGAAGGTCGCTGTCCCGCATGTTTTTCGTAAGTGACAGTGACATTCTCTCTCTGTTCATTTGACGAGGACGAGTCACCCCCGAATACAAGTGGAACAGCAAATGGAGAAGGACGAGCACGTTCTTGCCGCAAGTCAATTGCAGAATGTAGTTCTGCGCTTAACTCAAACAACAAGTGTGAAGGCTTGCGGTATGTAAGATCAACTTTGACACCGCCGCTGTACATGCCGATAACTTTGCATGGTTCATGTTCTACATCCCAGCCTCTAGATATTTCAACACTTAGAGAGGGGATCTCCATATTGACGTCAAGCACAATAAGCTCTTGCGCCTGTGCTTCAAGAGGAGGTATGGACAGTTCTTCAAGATGTTTGCTTGGATTTTCGTTAAATCCGCCGCGATATTCTGCAGAACCAAGCGCACCAGTCTCTTCTTGCGACAAAGAGTGAGAGCTTACTTCAATGTCTGTTGACATCTCATTCCCACTAATCGTTTCGACCAAATTCTCTGTTAGTATGAAATAAAGCACCGTGTATTGAGCTTCGGAAAGCGCTACTTCCACATGGCTCTTAACTTCGATGTCAATAAATGATGATAAATTAGCAGCATACAACTGTGGAACTTTGTTCTCTGGGGGCTTGCGTCGCAGCACCATCTTTGCCGATAGATCCTGAAGAAATGGCGACGTAAATTTAGAACGGCCCGAAGATCCGTCGCTGGGGGACAACAAATAATTGACGGCGAAGTTGACTCCTCGAAAGCTCGCGTGCCATTCGCTGTCCTTTGTGATATTTTCTAAGTTGCTGACATGTATAGCGGAAAGGTTGACAAGCATTGCCTCGGAGGCACAACCCGAATGGCGCGGGACGCGAATGGCTAGATCGTTGAGTTCGACATCAGTCACAATCTTTCTTGACGTAGCCGGATCATGCGATTGTCTTGATGGCCCCTCTTGTCCTATACCAAGATCTCCAACTTGCTCCAATACAACATCTACAGCGGGCTTCACTCCCTCCAGAAAAACAGAAAAGTACTGCTTAAGAACAACAGAAAATCGATATAGAAAGCAAATTCTGATCCCTCCAAAGCACGCATGAAACCGACATGGCTCCTTTCGTGATTTTGGGATCAAGAGGGTCCATTTGTCTTCCTTTTTGCCAGCAGGGGGAGCATTAGGATCGCTGGGAGTTAGGACATCGACATTGCTCTGAGGGATCTTCTCATACGTGATAACATTCGTGTGATCTGCGATTGGGGCAGTCCAGTCACGAACAGAGATATACCTGAAGCCCCCAAATACCTTCATATGACCTTCATCATTACGCGAAAAATGAATCTTGCTGTCTTTCATTTCGACGAGCGCTAGCGCACCCCCGGATGCCACTAGCTGAAGACTGAAGCCGTCAAATTCGGAGGTCACGGTTACTTTGCTCTTTGAGAGTGCGTTCCCAATCTCCGGCTGTGCTTCACCAGCATAATCAAGAGGACCTGATGACGTCGGGTGCATGCCGGCATGATCATTCGGACGCAGAGACGATTTCATATCACGAATCGACTGCTTTGCCCGCTTGCTAACTTTGTGAAAGAAAGATGCAAGCCTGACGTATGTTTCTCGAACGCAGACCATGTTTAAACAAAGGAAGCGTAAATGAACTTTGTGTTCGGATGCAATCAGGTCAACCTCGTATCGAATGGTGGCAAAATGCTTGCGATCGGTGTATGAATGATGTTCATTCTTGGCACTCATCGTGGTGCGAGGTGACGACACAGCCTTTGGTGCCGCAAGGGCTCCGGCATACACCAATCTCCTGAATGCTGCCGTGCTGCCCCGGCTACCATCGGTAACGATCCAGTTGCGCAACGAAAAATCAGCTTGCAGCTTCGTGCGACCTGTCTTAACAATGCTGGCTCGCATCACAGATGCCACTGCAGTGACAAGACGAACATCGGTACTGTCTCTGACTTCAACAGATACCCTCTGTATCAAAGACTTGACATCGTAAGATGCCATCATTGTTGGTTGAGTGGGCTCCAAGTCTTGCACTCCTTCTCGATGTTCATCTCTAGTTTGGGTAGTTGCAACGATAGATCCAGTCAGCGCGTCATCGTTTCCCCCCACAAGAGGTTGCCAACCGTTGTCGCCAGATGGATGCTTAGAAGTGGAACCTAGCAGATCACTGCTCGTTTTCATTTCACTAACCCATCGTTGCCCCTCTACAATAAAGTGTTGGACAGAGTCTTGAGTGACAATCAGAGATAGACCAGGAACATTTCCCCGAACACGTACTTTGGCAATCTGGCTTCCACCGTTCTCATTTGTACCAGACGGAGAATGGGCAACTTGAACGACACTAGCATCTCGTAAGGTCTGGAGGAGAAATCGAAGGGAGAACGGCCTGATAATTCTTTCTACATGAGTCGTATCAATGTAGTGGGCGTCCTTGAAACCTATTTCAATTATAGGGACCGAATGGTCCCTTGTCCCTGTCCGTATTTCTTGGGATACGGCAGTCATCAAGTTTGGAACAAAGTACATGCCGAGGTCGTCCAGTGTCAAAACGTAGTTGGAATACCGGATGTTGCAACCACGTTTCTCTGAATCGCTTTGATGCTCCGGTGCATTGTCTGATGTGCAAATGCCCAAAACACCCATATTCACCACAATGGCGGGTTGGTTCTCTTCTGAGCTAGGGAAAACAAATCTGGGGGCGAGTATCACTGCGTTAATTTCCAGTGGGACTCTGTTTGCTAGAAGAGCTGTTTCGATTTCCATCCGCAATTCAGCAATCCTCTGACCTGCTGCAGCTCCTAGGAACGCCATGATTGGATCTTGAGCCATGCCCTTAGGTTGCCAGAACTTCAGTCCCCACACAAAAGAACCTTGTGGTCCGTCGACAATAGCTTCCAGAGTTGCAACAGAAACATCCAGCTTACTTTCCGACACGTTCTTTACATCGGATGCAGTCGTCATGGTTTGCGAATAGCGGAAAGCAGCCACATACTTCTGTGTCCCCTGTGACTGGCGCGAAGTGCCCAAAAACTCCCTTTCAGTTACCCTAAAACTTGGTGGCGTAGATTCCCTGATCCCGCTGTTTCCCCGAGATCGGCTTCCCGTGCCTTTTCGCTCCGCGGCGATGTCAGTGGAAGTTTGAGGATCATTCTGTTCCTCAAAGGCTCCAAAGTAGTGGTCGCCCGGAAGGTGACCCGTCTCATCGTCAGGGAACTCGTCACCTTCAGTGATCAGATCTTTAGCGGGATTTGACCCGTTCCTTATTGACTCAATCGCTTCCAAGACGTCATGTGGGTACGAGGATTCAAATCCTTTCAACAGTTCTTCGTATTCCATGTCGGACATTGGAGCTTGTTTGCTGTACACCATCCTCCTTCCGTCTCGCATGTCCCACGCATCGATGCTACCTAACACGGCTTCCATCGTAAGACTGCCTGATCCAGTGTAAAGAATACCGACCCTCAGATCATGCAAATTCATAGAAACTCGAGGGATAGACCGATTTGGAAATCCCTTTTGGAACAGCCGCACGCTAGCCCCCCGCAACAAAAATGCAACTCTCAATGCAAGCGACGGAACGATCTGGGATTGCGACTCGCGAGCAGTATCCGAAGATGAGAAATCCAAGGTTTCCGCGAGACCGCTGGACTTTGCAATTCTGTCACCGCTGGCGGTCAGCAAGTCTGGAGGCGATTTTTCTTCCTTGTATCCTAACATGGACCAGAACGAGCTCATTGTCGTTCCTTCCTTATCGACCTCTTGTGCTGTTGAGGTTTCCAACGGAGCCGGCAGCCAAGTTTCCCCTTCGGCCTCGATTTGCAGATCAACATAGTCTCTCAATGCCGTGACCTGCCCGAATGACATCGAGTCTTCGAGTCTTTCTAGGTTCCCAGAGATGTCTTGCGGCTCTTCTATGCCCATTCTCCTCGACTTTAAGATAGTCTTGCGGTATCCCGCGTATAACAAACGTATGCCTCTAGCTTTGCTAATACCGTCTTCAGTAAAACGTAGGGCTTGTTCTCGTCGGTTGCTGAAGCCCGGCAGCATCTGATCAATTGCCCATGCCCACCGTTCCGCAGGTGTTTTCGGTCGGAAGCCACGCGTAGCAAGTCGGGCAAAGTAGACTGAAGTTTGCAAGAGGCTAGCGTACTGAACATCATCTAAGTCGACGCTAATATTCGGAAAACGAATGTCAAGGTCGGCAGCTGGCTCCGGCTCAGTCGCATCCTGCGAAACGGCCGGCGATGACGCTCCACGAGACAAGCGCAATCGCATAAAACCGTCAACAGGTTGTAAAAGGCTCTTAACACCGTGTGCTGCATGCTGACCGTTGGCGTTTGAGCTGCTATCGGCTGACATAAACTGCTTTAGCATTTCTGGGGTATCAAAATGACACTGCTGATCGCCAGGATTCTTCGTTCCCCTTGACAGCCCTGGGGAGTCGCGTGGAGTAATGGGTGCCCAATCTATGTGAAAGCCTTTGACTTCAACCAGCTTTCTGGCCAGACTTTGAGGTGCATCTGAACTGCGTTCAACAAAGGCCTCTTCCCACAGCTCATTAGCAGAAACAGCTTTCAGCGATTTGCACACCATGGAGACAATGTACGGTCTCGCAGGATCCGAGAACGGGTCTTCAAAACGAAGCGATATACCAGAGAGTTGCACCTGGATGTTATCAACAATTTTAGCGCGCAACTCCTCGCTGACGAGCCAGTTTCCCCAGCCTTGCGATGCGGCTTCGTTTGCCACGCCCCAAGAAGCCTCCCTTACGGCATCGTCGGTGGCCAACTTTGCTCTTTTGATCCTCCTCTCACGCATCTTAAGCTCAGAATCATCCGAACCATCCCCGCAAACGGGACGGGCCATAATGGTAATATCTGACATGTGAATTTGAACTGGAGTGGAGCCGATAGCCTTCCAGGGGACTTGCAGGCGCAATAAGCCGATGAATCCGGCTTCAACAGTAACCGGAAGATCCATGCCCAGTGTCTCGAAAAGCACGGCAAGGGCCTCCGGTCGCAAGGCGACGCCTCGCAACTCAACCAATCCCGACCATGCCCCGAAGCGGACGCTGTCGCGGTCAATACCTTCAAGGTATTGACCTAAGACGCGGGTTAGGACGTCTGCCAAAACGGACTCCAACATGGCGGGAAGAAGGCACAAAGTATTGGGGTTGAGCCAGCTGGGTTGCACAAGCTAGTGCAGCTGTTTAGCAAGTGTTCGTCGCGGTTGATTTGCTCACTCAATCGGAGGGTAGCACGCTGGACGCATGGTAGCAGGAGAGGATGAGACGAGGATGGAAGCGGGGTGTTTGAGAGTGGGGAAATACGTTTGACAAGTGGAATGCAAGTTGAGCTGAGCTGAGATATGGAAATCAAGTTGGGAGGTTGAACGTCGATGCCCGACGAAAAGGACGAGTCGAACCAGAAGCAGGAGTCGTAGAAGCACACGAGTGTCGCCAGATAGCAGCGAAAGGGGTGTTTCGTGACAAAAAGGTTTTGTGTATTTACGAAGGGGTGGCAATCGACTCTGGCCTGGGCCTCGCGACACGGTATGATTAGCGGGGCAGCGCTGGAATGCCTCTCTTGCTTGATGTTGATGCGCATCTCCACGGAAGAAGTTCAGTTTGACATCCCTCGCTTACAGCACATGGCTTACACATATCTCGATCGGGGAGAGTTTCTGCTTCGTCGTGACTTGTGCCCTACAGTGCTGGCCAAAATGATAGGGACACAGGCCATTCGCACTGTGGCAGCCCCCTTTTGCTCCAATGATAAATGAGAAGAGGCTCTGCACACGTATTGGGAGAGCTAAACGTGATAGAAAAAACGGTTTTATAGAACAAAAAACAGCCTCGGAACTATAAGGCAAAACGTGTTTACGGCATGGCCATAATGATAGGGACAAGACCTCTACCCTATTATCTGGACCCCATGTATGCGCAATACTCACCTCAGTACTTCGTAGCACCTCCCTTGGCAAGATAACAGTCCCTGCAGCGTCGTTCCATGGACCCCAAAAGGAATTTCAGTGTGTCCGTTGTGATGTTATCCCAGGCTTCCCAAACGGCCTCTTTAAGCTCTTCGACGTTGTCAAATTGACGACAACCAACGTATACAGCACGTGCCAACAGACCCCAGAGATTCTCTATAGGATTTAAGTCCGGGTACTTTGCCGGCCAGTCCATAACCGGCACCTCTTCCTCCTCAAAAAAACTGCCTGACCCGATGTACCCTGTGAATAGAAGCTCCGTCATGCATTTATATCCATCCTGCGTCCAGCTCCTGATCAATAAACGGTAGCAAATAACTTTCTAATGTTTGTATGTAGTTCTCTGCGTTCTGATTTCCTTCGAGTAACACCAATTCGCATTTCTTCGTCCCACAAAAAGCCCCCCAAAACATGACCGAATTCCCACCTCCTTGCCTTCTCGAGAATATGCGCTTGTCCTTCCTCAGGTCGTGCCAATAGAAGTCGAAGCCATCTGGTCCGTCGAGATTGAACTTTTTCTCGTCGGACCAGATGACTTTATACCAATCTGCAGGACACCATGTCAGCTTCTCGCTCGCAAATTTTTCACGAGCAACAAGATGACGGGGCAGCATCATTGGAGCCGACATCATCTTCTTGAATTGGAAGTTCGGGTCGTTGTGCAGCGTGCAGCGGATTGACCGTGAGGCAACAGAGAGTCCCAGCTCCTGACGAAGCGTGTTAGAGCCTTTTGTTTCATTTGAAGCAGCCCGAAGTAACCTTCTCTTGTCGGTGGGGGATAGCTTTTGCGGTCTTCCTGGTGATTTTTTCTCCCATATTCCAACGGCGCGCGCAGCAAGTTAGAAACTACGTTCTTGGAGCGCTGCACATGAGCAGCGATGTCTCGAATGGTTCTACCGCCTTGAGAAAGACCAGCAATAAGCCCCTTTTCGAGCTCGTTCAGGACTTTGCCTCTTCCCATTTCTCCGAGCTACCAACCGACTGTTTTCTGCACAACCGGTTGCAGACCCCTCGAGTGTAGCCTTAGCATGGCCTTTACGCCTTTCGGCGGAACGCAGTTTGCGTTTTGCGCCAAAACGCGAGTTAGTTCCTGTTGTCCCTATCATTATGGCCATGCCGTAAACACGTTTTTGCCTTATAGCTCCAAGGCTTTTTTATTCTATAAAACCGTCTTTTCCATCACGTTTAGCTCGCCCAATACGTGTACAGAGCCTCTTCTCTTTTATCATTGGAGCAAAAAGGGGCTGCCACAGTGCGAATAGCCTGTGTCCCTATCATTTTGGCCAGCACTGTATCAGCAAATGCGGTTTCACAGTGATGATACTTTTGCGCAGGCGAGGCTTTGCGGAATGACTCCCACGGGATCCTGGACCGCAAGAAGGCAAAGCTGCTTTCTCATCAAAAGATCTCTTCTTTTTGCTTGTCTCCTTTTGCCTGTCAAATTGGCTGAAGCATACTGCCATGAGAAAGTTCAGTAGAGGGCATCAGTACCATGAAGCATTTGCAACAAAGAGGTCAACTGGAGGCTCGTGTGAAGGCTTAAGGCGGGTCTCTCTCACTGACGTACAGATGTACAGTAGGCACCCCTCAATAGTTCGCCCCCCTGCCAGGATCCAAGAATGCAAACTATTGACAGAACAAACTATTAAGATCGCATTGCTGGCATAGGTCCTTTACTCAAAATGCTCGGAAATCAGCGTCTGCCGTGTTCTCTTTCTCATCTGCTCTCGGTAGGCCTCGAAAAAGGCTCGCTTTGCCCGACAAAGCCCCTCGCCGGCCCCAACGACACCTGCCCTTTCCGCTAAAGCCTCCACCCCCTCAAATAACTGCGCAACATCGGACAGTGGCGGTAGTTTCTCAGTAACAATTGAGAATTCGTACAGAATTCTTACGGATCTTTTGAATTGTTCGCGGATTGCAACTGAAACGAGTTGCTGCATCTATCACGGTGAACCTATTACAGAGCTGGTGAATAATATCTGCTGTTTCGGAGAGAGTCAGTATTTTGCGCATGCTTTTGACAGTGGGTGCGGAGTTCGACGTCATTGCGCGCAATGTGGACGGCTGCGGGGCGGCATGAAGAAGAGATTATACTCGTGCTCTTGGAGCATGAACTGTGGGAGAACGAGAACGATGAGGTTAGTAGTAGCCGCGCTCTTCGCGCGCAGCGGCGGGGGAAAGGAGTCGCGAGAGTGAGGAGGACGGGGATACTTCGGACGGAGAGTCTCGCGACTTTTCGCAGCCGCTGTAAGAGGGTAGCAAGTTACCCCCGAGGGTCGGTCGGGATACCGCCCTCGGACTTTTATCTCGCCGGATTTCCCGCCGCCGCGTCGCGCGTATAATTTCCCTTGTTTCCCAGATTTAGGGCTAAACAAATAAACTTCAATTTCTATATTCCCACACACCCCCTTTTGGCCCTAAAATTGGGGCGCGCGGCGCCGGCTGATCTGCCGTCGGCGCCAGCCCTATATGATCTGACGCAGCGCCATCGCCGCTCGACTTCCGATCCATTGTCCTGGCAAGGCAGCCTTCCGGATTTGCCTAGGGTAAGAGCGCTCGCTTGTTGAGTTATTCCCCTTCTCTCGCCGCGCCCTTTCGGACCCCAAAATCAAGCGCGGACCAACAGCTTCCGGTACTCACCGCCTATGCGCCACCGCGAATCCTCGCCATACAAAAGCTCATTTCCGCGTCCGCGTCCGCTCGATCTCGCGCACCGCATCACTGCTCCGCCGCTCGACGTTGCGCACCGCTTCACCGCTCCGCCGGTTGACCTCGCACATCGCACCACCGCTCTGCCGGTTGACCTCGCGCATCGCATCACCGCTCCGCTTCTTCGCCATCACTCCCGCGCGTGGTTGCTTCCCCACCTTCAAGCTTCCACCAATGACGGGTCACTTCCTCTGCGAGTCAGCGTGCGACCTCCTCGAACTTACAGAGTGCCGGCAGGCCAGGGATCGGTGTTCGTGCGTTGCCCGCTGGATGGTGGGCCTGTGGCTCACGGAAGGGAAAGGTAAGGGTGCGGTCGAGTCGACGGCGTGGCTAGGAGGGAAATGGAAATCAAGCGAGGTTCTGTTGGTCGTTCGAGGGATTGAGCAGACCTTCACCCGGGAGAGGGTCTTTCAAAATCTCAGCCTAGGCCAGGAAGCGTCGAGGGTGCTTCTTTCTTGGTTGGCGGAGAGAAAGGGCAGGAAGATGGAGGTTGCAGTGATGGAGAGGTCGCGTTTGTTGAACGAAGTTGGATTGTTGGACTTGGAGCAACGGCGTTGGGAGGTGCGACGCGTCGTGTTCGCCTCCGCCAATACCTACGACTTCCGCCCTGGACGTTACTACGCTTCAAAAAGGAGCGTAAGCGGGTGGAAGACATTTTGGAAAGTGGACTTCCATAGTCTAGAGGCGAGCGTCGTGCCGATGTTAGATGAGGCAGCCAGTCCAATCACCAGCGAACTTGAGGTGGTGAAGCGGGACGGGCAGTCTAACGCGGAAGTCGAGCTGGTCTTTGGACTCCGGAAGAGAGTCGAGGCTATGGAGTGATTGGATCGGTACTGCACCAGCCACCCTGACGACTTTGTTTCCATCGGAGGCCCTGGTCACCGCGAGGTGACGGAGCGGACGCAGACATATCGTACACGCGAGTCCGTGTTCTGACGAGCAACACACGGCGAGTGCGCGCGTGCGTCCTTCGCCAAATCGTTGCGCTGTGTTGTCCGCGAGGGTTCAGTGCTTGAGATGCTCCGCAAGGGACCCATAAGAGGTCGGAGCTTAGCCGAACTACAATTGTGGAATGAGAAGAACCTTGGAAGATACCGCCTCAAGAAATGCGATGTCTCCATCTTGGAAGGTCACAGTAAGTGGATGAGTGATCGAGTTTCTGGCGTTTTCCTGATAAGTACCGTCGCCTTGGACGCCCTTACGAGCGTTTACATCACGTAGTGGATCTCGACGCCCTGAAGGGGCACGTCGTAGACCCTGTAGAGCACTTTGCGCTTGCTAATCGACCCGGTGTCTTGGGTGCGGGTCTTGGACAAGGAAGTGATTCTTTCGAAGTGGCTGAGGTGAGGGAACTGCAGCTGCAGCCGGTCGAGAAAGGGAAGAGAAACCGGAAGAAGTCTGGCAAACAGCGCAGCACCAGCAGACAAAAGAAGAAGATTTCATCG